ATCGTTTCAATAGATCTAAAGCATACATAGTCTGATTGATAAAAATTTCATCGCTTAGTTGTTTAATTTGTAATCCTAAAAAAAAAGTTAATTCGCCCATTATGTTCATTTCAAACTCTTAACTCAAACTTTTGACAAATGATTCATACAAAGATTTACTTGAAGAATAAAAAATAATATCATCAACATAAATTTGGACAATGAGAAAATTATTTTTAAAATATTTAATAAACAATGTAGTATCGACCTTGTCTTTCATAAAATTATTTTGAATAAGGAAAGAACTAAGCCTCTCATACCAAGCCCTAGGGGCTTGTTTTAATCCATATAGAACCTTAGTCAACTTAAACACATGATTTGAAAAGTTAGCATTCTCAAATTCGGGAGGTTGTTCAACATAAACTTTTTCGAAAATAAGGTTATTGAAACACACTTTTAACATCCATTTGAAATAACTTAAAATTATTATAACTAGCATAGGCAAGGAGAATCCTTATGGCTTCAAGTCTAGCCACAAGAGCGAAGGTTTCTTTATAATCTATACATTTTTCTTGGTTGAAACCTTTGGCCACTAATCTAGCCTTGTTTCTAACCACGATACCAAGTTCATCTTGCTTGTTTCTAAAGACCCATTTAGTACCAATTACAAAATGATCACTAGGCCTAGGAACAAGCTTCCACACCTCATTTTTCTCAAATTGATTTAATTCATCATGCATTGCAATAACTCATGAATCATATTTCAAGGCCTCGTCAATACATTTAGGTTCAATTTAAGATAAAAAGATCACATTTGCACAAAACTTTTTAAGAGAAGAACGAGTTTGAACACATTTTGATGTTTCCAATGATTAGCTCTTTAGGATGAGTATCTACATACTTACAATCACTATGTAAGTATTTTTTGGAAGAAGATGCATCCAACTTGCTAGTGGGAGGAGAGGTTTCAATCAAATTTAAAGCATCAAAATCAAAATCATCATCAAAATTATTTTTCTTAAATTTAAAAACCTCATTGAAAATAACATAAATAGATTCTTCTTTAACTAAAATTATTTTATTAAATACATAAAATACTTTAGAAGTAGAAAAATATCTAAGAAAAATACCTTCATCGTATTTTGTATTAAATTTTCCTAAGGCATCTTTTTAGTTTAAAACAAAATATTTACAACTGAAAACTTTAAAATATGAAATATTAGGTTTTTTATTATTATATAATTTGTAAGGAATTTTGGAAAGTAATTGTCTTATTAGAACCCTCTTCATGACATAGCATGTTGTGTTAATAACTTTGGCCCAAAAATATTTGGATAGGTTATGTTCATTTAATATGGTTCTTACCATTTCTTATAAGCTTCTATTTTTTCTTTCAACTACTTCATTTTGTTGTCGATTTCTTATAGTAGAGAAATTATGATTGTACTCATTTGATTCACAAAAAAATTGGAAATCATAGTTTTGAAACTCACCACTGTGACCACTGCATATAGATTTAATTATAAAGCTTATTTCATTTTGAATAAATTTATAAAATTTTAAAAAATACTTAAAAGAATTACTTTTGTGTGCCATGTCTAAGTGTATCTATTATAATCATCAATAATTACAAAGGCATGAGGTCATCGGTGTCCACTAATGGTTTTCTTTCAATGAGTGAAGACCAACTACTCTTTTACAACCTTTTTTTTTGTTTTCATAGGTTTATAAGACAACCTTTATAATTCACTCACCCTTCTCTCAAATTGAATTAAAAAATTAGAGCTAGAGAAAGGGAACTTTTAGGAACTATAATAGTGTTTCACACTAATTTTCATTCAAGATGTTCTATACATTGAGTAAGGATGAGAGGGGTATTTATAGACCTCAAATAGCTTAAAAAATGAAATAAAAAAAGTCTCATCTTGGGTTCTCCGGATACTAACGATACCACAAGCAGTACTGGGCGGTACCACCGCCATTACTCTCTGACACTAGGTGGTACCATCACCCAGTCCGGCGATACTATCGCCTGACAGAATCTCAGATATTAGACTCTAGCGGTACCGTCACTTGGCAACATTAGCTACCGACGGTTCCACCGCCTAGACTCCCTAGAAGGCCGAGCCTCAAGCGGTTTAACTACTAGCTCTGGCGGTGCCACCGCTTGACATGGCATTAGGTCACTGAATGAGCCATCCATTCTACCCAAATCAGCTCTAATTCGCATCCAGTTGGCCCCTAATTGAGTTAGTAGGATTTCTCCCAAAAACTAACTCCAATTGAAACCATAACTACAATAATTAAGGCTAAACAATTATAATACAAGCAATCCTAGTTTTCTAGCACGCCAATTGTTCATCCGAATTCTCGGTGAAACTTTCGACACACTCTCAGCGATCTTCCGATGAACTCTCGATGAGCTTCCGATGCATCGTCCGAACCTTCGGCATATCCCTCGATTATTTCGGCCCGATGCCCGATCTTTGATTTTGGCCCAACATTCGATTCTTCTTTAATTGTTTTGCCTTTTCACGATCATAGTTAGTCATATATCCTCTTTCTCAACATATAGATTAGATCATTAACTTATTAATTGATTTTATCATCAAAATCCAAGATTTAATAATATAGACCTTTCAAATCAACTATCATATTTTTAAAAATATTTAAAAATATTTTATTTTTTATTTTTAAAATATATAAATATTTTATTACATTATTCTTTACTTTAAAGTTGATAAAATTATTTTAAAATTTATTAATATATTTTTATTATTTTATAAATTAATATATTTTATTTTTTATTTTTAAATAATATAAATTAATATATTTCAGTAATTTATTTAATATAATTTTTTTTGAACCGGTCTAAGGTTTAGATTATTTGAATTGATTTAATTGTATGAGTTAGTTCATTAAAAAGGTGGAAAGAGAAGATGTAACTTTTAAGAAAAAAAGACTAAAAAATTATTGGATGTTACTTTTGTTATTTTGAAAAGTTGAGGTTCTGTAAAAATTTCTTAAAATTAAGATGCTGTACGAGAAAGATTAAAAAAAAAACGTTTACCCTGACACAAAAGAATAATCACAAAATAAGATCATAGACCAAAAAAATCATAACAGATAATGTAGCCAACTTTGTAAATCTGTTACATATTTCATATATTTTTCAAACAAAAGCTAAAAATAAACATATCTTGCCAAAAATATGAAGAATGATAATAATTTTCAAGATGCTTTCCCATCTACATGCATATTTAACCAACTAGAAGTGTCTTATATTAAACGATAGGCATACGTGATTATTATCATATACTTACAATTGCACCAGCGGAAATGACAATCCTACCAACAGGCTGATGCCAGCCCTAACATATGTAAATGTCATTCCAAGAATCATCATTTTTGAACAAACAAGAGAAACAGTTGCTACAATCACCATAGTTTCTAATGAGCAAATTTTGTTGGGCAGAATAATAGGTTATGATTGACCAACAAAGATGCGTTTATGCTTTAATTGGGAGAAAAAGTATTGTCATACACACGGTCAACTATAAAGTATTCTGATATGATGAATGTTTTAGATAGACTAGCACTATACAGGTCTTCATTCCTTAATCACTTAAATAAATTGCAGGGACCATTTAACACAGGGCGACATTTGATGGTTAGGTGATTCCTTCTATCATTTTTGTTTGGGTTTAGAACATACTGCAAACAAAGGACAACTATCTTATTAATGGAAATTGGATAGTTCTATTTTGATATAATATCTTATTCTTTTAGGTAAGTCATTTTCTAGACGAATTTATCCCTTTGACTAGTTCAAGATCATAATTTTAACCGAAAGATGATAATATATTTTATACAAGAAGAAACTTTGGATTAGAGCATAAGTAGGTTATACCGATATTGTCATAATATATTATGGAGTAGATTTAGAGGTGACACTAAGTTCATGAATTAGCTTTTATGATAGATTTTACAATATTATTTTATTTCTTTCTTGAAGCTCTAAATGATAATGTTTGCTTAAAAAAGATAATATAAGTCGATATTAAAGTTTTGTCGTTAGTATTACCTATCAAATCAACATCAGTAAAGGCATGAAGATAAAATGATAAATATTTTCAAAGGATAATTTCATGATTAAGAGTTCTTTTGAGGTATCATAGAATTCACTTCGGTGCAAACCAATGTGATATCATAGAATTCACTTCAATACAAACCAATGAGTACCGAAGGATCGATCCATGATTGTGATAGTTTCTTAATTATAAATAAAATATTTGAATGAATAAGAAATAAGTACTTTAAACCAAGTATTTATTAATACTATATAAAATCTATAGTACGACTTGACTAGATATTAGGGTAGCACCTTTTTTTTTTGATGTTATGTACATTCATTTTTTTAAGTAAATTTTGAATGTATTTTTTTTAAGCAAAAATAAAATCAAAAGATATGAATATGAGCTCCATACTCAAAATAGCTTAGTGATGTTAGATCTTTGACGGAGGGCGGTGGGGGGAGAGGGGATTTCGAATACCTCATTTCCTCCACTTATTCTTCAAGACTCAAATAGTTTTGCTAGTCTTATAAGTTTCATATCTTTCCAAAAACCAAAAAAAAAAATCTGCCGACACATGTACTATATGTTAAAGTTAATGTTTCTTCGTAGAAATGCATTTATTTGTAGCAAAATCGTAAAATAATTTAAAGTTAATTTTAGGAATAGCAAAACACAGTAGAACAAATAAAAAAAGTATTGAAGGGAGGAGGCGGGGGTAAGGGGGGGGCGCGTTCAAAAGTATAATGAAGCGTTTGATAGCAAAGAAACTTGAAAATGCTGCGTGGATGATTCTATGTAGACATTTTTATCAACCACGTTATAACGCAGCAACAGGAATAGCAGCATGCTTTGTAGATCCAAACACATTTTACGTTGATCGTCTATCTAAGATGCAGAAAATGGTGGACACAAACAAAATGATGAAAGAACAATAGCAAGAAAAAATGTTGCTGGAATCAAAATGTAAACTGATGCAGGGTTAATGAATCAGATCCGATCTGCAATACAACAGGAGACAGATGGTAGATCTAACCGATGCTTCTCCAACTGTACTCGTAATTTGCTGTACAGAACCATCTCCACAAACAAAGTTCAACGAGTGAGCAGGCAGTGACCGCTACAAACACAATCTTATCGCCTGGCTTCCACCATCATCGGGATCGGCAACAGCATGCTGCACTTCACTTTCGACCGTACATCTTTTGTATGGGGCAAAACCCCTTGCAGAGCCCACAGTCCCACTAGTGGAAGCCTGGACGCTGCTTAACTGTTGCCTCAAAAGAGGCATTGTTCCGTTCTGTGCCGAGTTCGCTTCTTTCCTCGAGCCCACCCCGTCAGCGTTCTGGTTGCTTGGGCTTGTTCCACTGATACACGCAGTGTTAGAACCTGTCCAAGAACCTTCCCTCTGCATCTCTTGATTGAATTGCTGAGGACACTCTGGTAGAGAGTGGACTAGCGGAATGGGCAGGTTGCCACGCGTAGCCCACCAGCTCGGAGGGCGGAACGCAGGCTCTGTAGAGTTATGTCCAAATAACGGGAAAAAATAGAGTAATGGGGGTACAAGACCAGAGTAAGTATTCCCTGCACTTGCAGTCAAATCCCCAGGAGAAACTCCCCGAGTACTTGGCAAGCACTCGGCCTTTTTCTCTTGGTCACCTTTGATGCCGACCGATGATATTAGGTTAGGCTGTGCCAAATCCCCAGCAGTAGGAGGAGCAGATGACATATTTGGATCAGTCACCACTACCATTTTTCCGAAGAGCTTGAGAGTTGGTAACCGAGATTCATCTAAGGCGTGCGCATGATGACGGCATTGATCTATCTCCTGAAATGTTTTATCAGAAGCTCAGTTAAGAAAAACTAAGGTTCGAAACAATTTGGAGTAACTTTGATACTTTTTTGAGAGTGAGTTACCATCCGAGGCTGGTCTTGCACAGTTAACCCAGAAAATGCGGGACCAGAATGTGGAAGTTTGATATCAGCTTCATCCGTCACGGTTAGTGATTGTCCTCCATCGTCCTGGTCATTTGATCCGGCAGCAGATGTAACCGGAGAGGAGCAACCCATTTGGCCGTTCGAAAGCGTGGATTCCAAGGTTTCCGATCCAACAGCTGATAAAACAGATGTCGGTGATCTATTCTCATGCTCACAAATTGCAGAGATCTGCAGAGGAGGCCTTTGAAGTTGTTTCAGGGCAGGAGTCCCCTTATTTAACAAGTTGCATAATTTGCGTGGATACGGGTGGACAGGTTTCCTCTTTGGTCGAGGCGGAGGAATCTCGATGGCCTTCAATGTGCCTGTGCTGTCACCGCTGCCAGACTCACGAACCACCTATAATTGTAACACACTGAGCCGCAAGTCAAAAAGAAGAAAAAGCCATCGGTGCTCTTCTCCATGAATGATTCGACTTCATCGAGTGAGACGACCACTTTCGAGAAATAGCTAATGAAAGGAAAGAATCATAAACCTTAGAGAAGAACTTTTGAGCATGACTCCTGATCTGCACAGCCGTCTTTGTACCGATGTGTTCTGCAAGTTAAACTCCCGAGTCAAAGAGGAGATACAGGTTGAGACGATGGTCCCAAAAACAGAGCATCATGATATTTACCTTCTCAATGGACAAACCAAATGCAACAAAAGGGTATCACAATTTACCTTCTATACGGCGCCAGGCACGCCCATACAACTGTAAAGCTTCCAGAAACCTCCTGTGCTCCTCCTCTGTCCACCTCTCCCGCTGCTTCGTTATCGTGTAAGGTTTTCTTATCTAATTAAAAAATATATATATATTTTAAACCAGAATGAGCAGGTCAAACATCTGTAGAAAGAAGGAAACCATTAGTAAAATGCATGGATGATTATAGAAGATAGATACCCTGGGAGCTTGTTCCTCCCCGGATGTCTCAATCTCCTTGGTCTGAGGAATGCTCGTAGTTGATATTTTCACATCCACATGCATTTTATGGTAGGGACTGGAAACAGGGTGTAAACTCGTGCTTCCTCGTTGCTCCTGGTTTTTCAAATCCCCCAAATAAGTATATTAATCAATGGATATTAATTAACATGACCAGCTGAACAAATTCTTCTATTTAACCACTACTCTCACATCATAAAATCAAGAATGGCATGCTTAACATTTAAACACATACCACCACCACCACCGTCACTTGGATAACTGATGGGTAAAGGACAAACACAAGACACACACGTGGATGCAGAAAAAGAAGGGGGAAAAAAAAAAAAGATGTTGTGCTTCGTAGATACAACAACATAAAATTGCTTAATACGATTTCCAGAACGGTCATAACTCCTAATATTTTCCAAACACAAATTTTAATTATTAATTTATTTATTGGACATACCCAGAACATTCATCAAGATAGGGTCAATAAAGCTCCTATTCATCTAATCGCACTCAGTGGCACCGGTATCTTGATACCAAAGTAAGACTTGTTGCCTGATTTTAAACTCGTACGGACTATCAAGTTTCTGAACTCTTTAACTATGTTCTTCACGGACAGCAAAGGAGTATACGGCTATCAGAGGTTAATCCCCAGTTCTAGACTGCCCTTCCTTCCCCTTGATTCCATCAAATCCGTAGACAGAAGAAATCAACCCTATTCTCAGCAATTCTTCGTCACAGCTTCATCTTGCATCAAAATCTTCAACCAGAACAAGAAACATCAACAACATGGGAAAAAAAAGGGGGCAAAAACTACAAATTAGACTCCAAATAATGTTTTTTTTCCATCGGATTAGTCTTAAATCACAAAAAGAAGGACAAATTAGACCCCCAAAACGTGCTTCCTTACACCCCGAGTTAGTCTAAACTCGGAAAAAGAAAAGGAAAAAAGAAGGGGAGAAGCAACAGAGAAAGGACGAGAGTATGTACCTGACTCTCCATATCTGCAAGAATTGCTCTCGGTTAAGCACCTTCTCCGATCTCGTATTGAATCTCCAAGAAACCTAACAAACGAACTCCAAAGCCATGAATCTGCCGCGAATCCTTCTTCCGAGGAACCAATCCTAATCAAGAAGAAGTTCGCGAAAGACGAGGAGGACGTAACAACAATAATAGAATGGAAAGGATGGTGAAGCAACGAGCGAGGAAGCTAAAGGGCGGGGGTAGGGGGTGGGGGGGGCGGGGGGCGAGGGAGGGAAGGGAAGGGGCGAGGAGAGGGAAGAGGAGGTGCCACGTCGGACGGGGATTTCTTTTTTCCTTTTTATCTTTTTTAATTTTGTTATGAGGAGAGGAATGAATGGGGGTGGAAGTGGCGGATGGTTCCGGCGGGCGGATACTTGTGGCGAAGAAGCGCTCACACGTGGCAGGCGCTGCCGTCGGCCTACGCAACTTCCCCTCCCTCCCTCTCCTTTTCTTCGGATAATATTAAAAATAAAATCATTTTTCCGAATATTTTGCTGATTTTAATGCAAGAAATACTCGCTTGCCAATCAATTGAGAAATACTCCCTCAGGTCACCCGCTTTATCGAAAAAGCTTAACCGTCCCCTAAAGAGAGGACAAAAGAAAAAACAGTAGTTAGTTGAATACAGATTATCTACGCAATTAATTTAATTTAAACTTGAGTAAAATTATTGAACTATTAAGTACTTATTTAATCCGAAATTGATCATGAAGATAAATTCTGATGGATTTGAATATGAAATTAGCTTACATTTCTTCTTGTTCCTATCCAGGTCTATCCAGGAATCTTTGGGCAGAGAGAGCCAAAAAAAAAAAAGTGTAAATCGAGGAGCATTAAAACCACATAATATAAAAGACGGAAAGGAAAATAGACCACAAGTTGTGGATCAGGTGCAGGGGCACGTGGAACCGGCGACGTGAGCTTTACTCTGCACTTTACGACACGTCAGGTCGCACTGGCCGCCGGTCAGCCCACCTTTCGACGCGTGTCTCCACCGATCCAAATCCAGAATATAGAAAGCAAGTGGTTCCCACGCGGCCGCCTTGCCGCCACTAGAAAATGCTTTATTCCACATACAAAATGCAGCCGAGACAATTGCTGCCACTCGTTACATATGTTTACCGATTTTAATTTGTGGTCGGCGTGAAGCATCATCGCAGCCGTTGGAAGAAAAACTGGCGGTGGATCACATCATCTGGACACGGCTCCTGTGATCGACCACATCAATGAAACGACCATCGGAGTTTAGAACAATATCAAAATAGTGCTCATACTTTTTTAAAAAGATAATGTTAAACTTAGAAAATGATTTGGATTCACATACGATTAAATTGGATAAAAGATTAATTTAGCTTAAACCAATGCTTTTATCGTATATAGTACATTCCTACCTCACATTAATCAATCGACACAATGTGTTGTGTGATATTTCATCTTCGGTAACTCCATATTTCCTCATCATTACTATAGTATACTTCATAGTCTCCAAACATCGTCGATTTTATATGTCATTGTGTTTAGGATTGAGTTTCATTGCCTATGAGTATTGAGTTCTACCACTAGCAACATCAGACTCCTTTGAGCTTTTATTCAATCGCTATCACAAGGAGGGTTCTAGAGTTCCAAAACTATAATGACAACCAACCTTTTTTGCGATAGAGCTTCCAGCATTTCATGCTTTCAGGGTTCTTTAAGGTATGTCTCCATTTTTATAAAAATATTTACTAAAAAATTTAAACTTTTAGTTTATTATATAACTAGGGTTCTATAGTTGTATTGATGTTTACTATTCTAAACAATGTTCTAAAAATTTATTGTTTTACTACCAATATTTTGAGCATTCTTTATAAAAATAAGATCTTTATCAAGAATAGTGTATTATTTTTACTATTTATTAATTTTTAATAAATTATAATTCATCAATATAATATTTTTTCACATCTAAGCTTCTAAAGAGATCCACAACATATTTAGCAAATTTGGTCTAGAGAAATTTTTTCCTAATAAGTGATACCCTATTATTGAGGAAAATTTAAAAATAGTACATTGCATATATGCATAGTTCAAAATGATCTTAATTTTTTGGAACGCTTTGAATAGGATAGTTATGAACATATGTTACTAGTTTTCCATTCTAGAGAGTTTTCTGGTATTTTTATGAATTTTTTAACATAGTCGGTCTGAAAATCTTTCGTACGATAAAACTCGTTTTATAAAGATGCTTAAATTAAAAGCGTACGAAAGAGTATAGCAAGTGATAAGAAGGTAGTTTGCTAAATTGCTCAAAAGAAATGCAAACCAGATTTTTATAGTGGTTTGATCATCGTGACCTACATCTACTCCACCGATTCCTCTTCCGTCGAGGCCACCGACATTCACTATCGTTCTTCTTTCAATGGGTGAAGACCAACTACCCTTTTACACCCTTATTCTCCTTTTCATAGGTTTAGGAGATAACCTTTACAAGCACACACTCCTCCCTAAATAGAATTCTAAACTTAGAACTTAGAGGAGAGGATTTCTCAAGTAATTACTATAGTGTTTTCTCACTTTTAAACTTTCCGTGTGTATGTTAACTAAGGATGAGAGGGGTATTTATAGGCTTCAAGTGGATTCAAACTTGGAGCCTAAAAATGTCTCATCTTGGGTCCTTCGGGTACTGACGGTACCATCGTCGAGTACTAACGGTACCACCGCCTACAGCACTAATACTGACATTGAGATTAGGCGGTACCACCGCCTGACATAGTCTCGAAGATTGTGCCATGACGGTGCCACCTGTTGGCTCACTGTTTGGGCCTTCCACTTTTCCCAACATAGCTTAAACTTGGGTCCAACTGGCCCCTAATTAAGTTGACTTAATTATATTCTAAACTAACTCAATTAGACTCTAAACTAACTCAATCCAGACATGATTGATTACAAACGAATCCTTGTTATCTGGTATGCCATTGGTTTATCCGGTGCTTCATCCGATCCTTCGGCGTATCGTCCTCTCATTCTCACAACATCCGATCTTCTTGGAGCAATGTCTGATCTTCTTGGCCAGATGCCCAAATTCATTACCCGAAGCCTTCTATCGATACGTCGATCGTTCCTCCGGCCCGACGTCCAATCTTCTGACATGTTTGCTTTAGCCCAATATCCGATTCCTCCTGCTTTAATCAATTTACATTTTCTGATCGATGTTAGCCTTGCGTTACTTATAACGCTCATTAGATCACAGACACATCAATTGATTTTATCATCAAAATATGAGATTCAACAATCTCCCCCTTTTTGATAATGACAACCAATTGATGATGAAATTTAAATAAACTCCCGAAGTTTAAACAAACTCCCTCTATCAATATGTCATATTGATAGAAAACTTTGAAATCATAGTATTTCAACATTGCATGCAACATGAGTATTGAAATAATTAATTTATCACATCATTGCATACATCATAAAATCATTTATAATCAAGGTTACAATACATCATTCTATGCATGATCATTATTATAACTTCTCCCCCTTTGTCATCAACAAAAAGGAGAAGTGCATTTAGTAAGTTTCATATAATATCAAGTTTCATCATCATGCAAGCTAGCAACAATTAGAGATGTGCAAGTTTAGCATGTTTGCTTTTCTTGAGATAGTAACTTTTTGCTTCTCTTTATATTATAAGCTAGCAATATTTACCATATGCAAGTTTTACAAGCTAGCAAATTTTTTTATTACTTTACAACATACATAATCACCAAATCATCATTAATTTTAAAGATTTGCAAGATTGTAAATTTTGTAAGTTTGCATTTTAGCTTCTTAAGATAGGTAAGCTAGCAATTTTTGGTGATGTTGAAGATAGCAAATTCTTTTTTTTCTTTTGAAAAGTGCGATTTTTTTGCTTCCTTTGCAAAGCGTAAGCTAGCAAAATTTTACAAATATTGCAACATGCAAGCTAGAAACTTTGGCAAGTTTTACATTATTTTCGAATATGCAAGCAAGCAAATTTTTGAGATATTCATGATAACAAGTTATCAATTGTTCTCCCCCTTTGTTATTGTCAAAAAG